CCAGAGGGGACAGATGAATTAATATGATGAATGCAGCACAGTGCATGAGCAGTGCATAGGCTTTTTGGAAGATCAGAGTTTTTAGTTTGAAATGACCATGGCTACATTTTTTTCTACATATCAAATGCAAGAAAATTTTGCCTTTGTCACTTACTGAAGATCTCACCTGAATCAAGGCCTGCAGCAGAGATGGAGTGTGGGCGAGCAACAGAAAAGAGTGCAATTTTATTTGAATGAAAGATGAAAAATACAAAAGTAAATTGAGTTTACAGCATTGCAGAGAAGAAAAGCAGACAAACACCTCATTTTTTAAAGCCACATCTTTATGTGCGTCACCAAATTCAAATGAAAAATGGCCTTTGATTCTTCTTTGCACCACTGAAGCCTGTGATAATGGCTCTCAGGCATAGAATTAACATAAAATATTTAGGCAATCTTTATTTTCTCCAGTGATTTTCGCATACAGGGGAAGTCACATATTTAAGCAGCAATGTCTGTCACTTGTTAAACGATCCATCAAATGTTTATTAGACACACAAATTTCAGAAGAGAGGTGAACATGCTCATAAAATCATGTAGCTGCTTCACTCTGATTCTCTCTGCTTCACTAACTCTTGCTAAAGTCTTAAACAATTCAGGATCCTTTCCGTTTAAAGCCAAGTAAGCCCCGTGATGACAATTACTCATTCAAAGCAGCAGCTTCTGCTCATGAACTGCATCATCAGCTAATGTGCACCGAGTGATTTCATATTCACAGTGGTAGGACTGTAATTTAGAGGGTTTTAAAATGTCTTGGTGGGGAAACCCAATTAGGATGCCAAGAAGGGTGTAAAAAGATTCGTCACTCTGTAATGGAATGACAGAGCTGATGATCAGACCGGTACATGATGAACTCTCACTCTGAGCAGATTATAATCAGGGCCGTCCTGAGAAGCATGACCTGCCTCTGAAAGAGGATGCAATACCCTCCCCTGCTGGTCTGATTATTGTGAAACACACACACCTTTTAAAAATGTACAGTCGCTGCAGAAAATATTCAGACCCCATCACTTTTTGCACACTTTATTGTCTTGTAGATTTCATTTTAAATGGATAAAACTGCCTTTGTTTCTCATCAATAACCCATAGTGTCAAAGTTCAACTGTGCTTTTAGAAATGAGAAAAGGAGGCAAGGCACTCACTCTTCTGAAAATGATTTTGAAAACCCTTTTTTCAGATGGCTTTCAGGGCGAGGCTTTTAGAAATGTTTGTATTTGCTCTAAACCAAGCAATGGAGTCCAAGGAATTCTCTGTAGACCTCTGTAATAAAACTGTAGCGAGGCATATATCAGGGCGAGAGTATAAAACCATTTCTAAAACTCTAAGTGTTCTCAGAAGCACAGTGGCCTCAATAATTGTGAAATGGAAGAAATGTGAAGCCAAAAGGACACTTCACAGCAGGAAAATGTCCTGAAGCATACAGTCAACACAACAGTGCTGCTGGACAAGCCTCTGACTATCCTTAAGTTTCTGACTTCAGATATGCACAGACGCTTCCCTAATCAGTTGTATGAAGCTTGACGGGATCTATCAGAAAGAATGGGATAAGGTGCCTAAATCCTGGTGTGTATCAATAAATATAAATTAGTAAGAAAAAAAAACTTGATAAATAATAGATAAAACATTAAAAAAAACAATTGGAGGCTACTGCACAGAACAAATTTTAAAAGAAAGATAGCATTATAAATGTAAAAATAAAAATCAATAAAATATAATAAAAATGAGATAAGATAAAAGACAATGACAACAAAGTATGAGGAAATAACACATTATAAAACAATAATACAAACAATTAGTAAAGCCTGTACAGTGTCTTAAATAAAGCAGAGCTTAAAAGGTAGGTTTTACGTTTAAAAACCGTTTCAGCTATACTGAAATACTAAGCAAACTGAATTTTTTTATTGTTCAAGAACATCTCAAGTCATCTTGTAAATGACTTTGTGTGATGATACTGCTGACAGTGCAAGTAAGTGGTGAAAACAGACCTCAGTGGCTGTTTTTATTCAATGCAGATATTCCGGTATGGGTGAAAAGTGGAAAATGTTTCATTTTTAGAGTCGCCAAAATGAATATTTACTCTGTTCAGTCTGGAATTTTAGTGGAAAGGACACCGTAGCAATAAAGAGCACTTGAATTGATGTATGGTGACTCATGGAAAAAGCAAAGGGGAAAAAAGCTGGTGAGATTCTGCAGGGGAGAGTTAAACACTGTTTACCTAGGCTGCCTTGAGCCAGCCTGTGGGCACAACACAGCTGACGCCATGAGCAGATGATGCTCGCACTCTCATGGTGATCAAAAGGGAGTTTTAAAATCTGGTAGATTATTTTATGACAAAATCATCTTGAACATTTTAAAGCATATTTGTGTCAAAGACTCACAGACTCTGATATTCCTGCCTGTTTTGAAGACTGATGCTGTTACATGTGAAGAAAAGCAGCAGTGTGTATTTATAGGGAAGTGAAAGAGACAGTCCAGTGTGAGGGAGGGAAAGTCCACCTTGTTCAGTAGTTTGATGGTCTCTTCATCAGACAGAAAACTCACTTTACACCTTCAGAGTGATATCAGCTCACAAATAAATACCAAGTGTTAGCCACAGGTACCTGTAAATGGCTGTATCCATGTTAAGAGGTCAAAATAAAACACAGCTGAATCCTCACATACTAATTGATTGTTCGATTCACAAGATCGGCCGAATCTCAAAACTGCTTTACAGAAGTGCCGATTTTTGTGCTCATTGACTATGGATGAGCATCTGGTCAATATGGCAGTGTGATCTGATCGCTGTGCTCCTCCTGAGAGCGTCTGACTGTGTTGCACCATGCATAGAGAAAAACATGCAGATGCACAGAGTCGTGCAGCCACATCTGTTTCTGTGGAGACATACTGTACAAATACAGTTATAAATTGTACATGACAATGACTTGATCTCTTGTAAACATGGGAATTCAACGATCCAGAAAGGACTTGTAGTGAATACACAGCTCATTTATAGTTTTGCATTGTTAAAATGTGTGAGGAAGATGGCCACCAGATTTTAATGTCTAGGGTCAGAAAAAGCAACCAAAATCTCAACAATATGAAAATTGAACCAGTTCATGAAGTGCAGTAATTAACACACAGGATAAATGCATTAGGACACTGATGTTATACTCCTTTCCCATCTTTAATACAAATATTCATATTTTCTTATTTTTAAAGACTTTTGTTTAGTTGGATCTCATTCATTCAGATGTGAAATTAGTTGAGCAAAGCAGCATTATCCTTTTATACAGACATAATTGACTTTCATTCCACAAAGGACGTCTCACTAAAGTGAAAATCAATAGACTAATCAATTTCCCAAGAACAAATGACAGAAGAATGGACAAAACAGATTTTTTTCTGATCAATCTGTCATTAAATAGTAACCTATTATGTCTGTTAACAATGGACTGTGATTTATTCTTCTCTCCATCATTTATTTGGGTTAGTTTTATCTTAAGCTGGGCTGAGGTCATTTTGTACTATCAGTGAGTGACAATCAAATTTCTACTCTTTGCAGTGTGGCTGATTAGCTCTGGACATCCTCATTTGTAGAGCACTTCCATCTCAATAGCTACAATCAAGACAAAATAGTGTCACTGAGCAGTCTGCTAAAGAGCAAATACATTGACCCACCAGAGAATTTTGAATGGAGTTTTTTTTTTATTCTGAACTCTTGACCCCCATGAAATTAATCTGAAATATTTAATAATTGATGAATGTTGGTTTAACCATCGCAGCAGGTGTCACATGGGCTGCCGATGCATTCTGCTGGCTGAAAAACCTGTGGGTGCTGAAATGCTGTTAGTCAGCAAATACACAACTGGTGTTCTTCAGAAGAGGTGATGCAGTATTTTCTTTAAGGAGAATATTGTGTACTCCCAGACACAGTTTGATTTCAGTGAATTTATTATTTAGCAGGTGCAATATGAAGTGTTATCTTACTTCTTTATTGTCAATAATACATGTCCCCTGATGTCAGCATCCCTGTATTTTCATATATTTGTTTACATTTGAATAAATAAGTTCATAATGAAAGAAAGTCTATAGTGCAGAACTGATCTGTGATTACATGTGGTCACCCAAGCCATAACGGGTCAATGCAAACACCGCACAAAAAGGTAAAAATAGTTCAAATTGTACTGTAGTAAACACACAACTTAAATGAGCATTCAGAGCAGACAGAGGTAGACAAAAGTAGGCTTCTCATTTCTAGTGGGTAACCATCAATTTTGTATGTTGGCTAACAAATAATGCCAACATTAGCTCAGATGAACTGCCTGGAGATAATGTTAGCAATAATGTTTTTAGCTGATTTTTTTGGGGTCTTAAATATGCACTTGAGGCTACATGACACTGTGCTAAAAGGTTAAAACTAACAGATCCCACATAAAAAAATGTGCGTCCTCAACAGCTGATGATCAATGTAGACATGGAAATAAAGACCTAGTTAGTCCAGGTGAGTGTAATAAGGAAATTAAGGAATGAGAGTTAATTTTGCTCATGCATAACCCTGTTTGGCTGCTTAGCTTACATACTACTTTATAGTTTCACACAATATGGTTTAACTTTTAACATTAAAAGAGAAAAAGCTTTTAGGAGGATTAACCAGTACAAATGTAACATTATCTTGGGTAAAGATGGACAGGGGAACCGAAGTGTAAATGTACCCAAATCAAAGAAAGAGCAGGCCAGAGCAGCTCATGATGGCCTGATAGCTGCCACAATCCGCTGTGACATGTTGAGAAAATACTACACAGTAGATATGCTAGCTGTGAACTAGATTTAGTTTTTAATTAATGAATCATCTAATGTAACATGTAATGCCACAGATCATTGTAGGCAGGTAGTAAATTCCTTGATGTTGGTCTTGGAAATAATGATCCGTTAGTGCTCTAAGTGGTAAGCTTGTTAGACAGACGTATTTGCAGTTTGTTTGCTTTTTTGTTCAGTTTATTATTAGTGAGTAGACAAATGTATAGTTTAATCTTTTGTTCTTGGCTAAAACAAAGTTACTACCATTCAAACAATTTCAATTATGACTATAACTCTTATTATAGGCCCAAGTGCACCGCTTTGGTATATGGGGAAATCTATAGCGTGACAGGCCTGCCAACGCCTAGCTGTGGTCACTAAGCTATGACTGGACAATTTCACTTTGATGGAGATGTAATGACCTCCATTTTGGTGCTTGATTAATTGACAAAAATGTAGTTTTGTGACATAATAACAAAGTCTCTAAACAGAAGAGGAATAAGCAAGCACAAGAGCAGAAGTCTTAGAAGGCAGTAGGGGGCACAGATGGTGATCTTTCAAAAATGACTCACAGTATGAGCGGATGGATGGCTTATTGGTGTGTCCTACTTGTGGCAATGGACAACTTAAAGCCTGTAAGTAGCCCAAATGTAAATTACTGGACAAAATCTGCAGGAAAGAAACTTATAATCACAGTAGTCCGTATGCGATGTCCATCAAGCCTGATTCAGTTTCCAAATGTCTTTTTAGTCTCAAAGGAAGTCTGCAGAAGTCAGCGATCAGCATTCATTCTACGCAGTTTCGGGGGCAGCTTGTCCTCTGGCCGACTCCCTACCAAAGGGATCTGGATTGGTGTTGGATTTGTAGTAGTGATGGTGCTAATGGCTGCAGGCAGTCTGTGTTTATCCAGCTCTCCTTCCTCAGCATTTCCATCCAAGGACAACAGCTGGACCTGCTCCTCCAGCTGCCCTTGCTTTGTAACTGGAATAGAGCTGGATCTCAGCCTCTGAATACTAAGCATTAGATCCCCTGTGCTGGAGGCCTTCCCCCCTGGCAAGGCTGACCCCGTCTTCAGCCCCCTCCAGAGGTGCTCCTCATTGGTGGAGCTCATGCGCTGGAGCTTGCTGGGCAGCCTGAAGGCTTGGTCCTCTATGTGGTCTGCATAGTCAGCTGACAGGAGCCTTTCCCTGCGGCCTCCGCGCCCACTATTTCCTAACAGAGGGGAAGTGGAAATGGATGCAACAGGCAAAGGGTTGGGTGACGTCAATGAGGATTTCTCGTCCTGCTCTTTGACACTGTAGGGAGGGGTAGGAACTTCAAAGGTGTTATGGAACTGGGAGTAGTCAACTCTGAAGAAGCCCTCTTCCAATGACATGACAGGGAGGAAACGATGGCCCCACAAGACTTCATCCTCAGTGTAAGACGTCCTCGCCTGGCATGTCATCCCTGTAGCACAGAGAAGAGACAATGTAGCTGAATATTTCAACTATAGACAAGAAAAAGACAAAAAAGCTACTAAATAAGATGGAAGAGAAATGAAGTTGTGAAATGCTTCAAGGTAAAGGCAGAGAAATTTAAAAAAGTGACAAATGGAGAAGAGCTTGTGCTGTTGAATAATCAAAGACCATGAAATTAAACTTTCTGTTAAATATTTTAAATTTGCTGAGAAATGTTCTGTGCCAGAGGCTAAATAATGATGAAACAAATGCTTAAGGATGTGGGAGCCTTTTCAAAGCTCCAGTACTATTACTGTGTGTGTATAATATATATAATTTGCACTAACCAGTGGTTTCCACAATGCCCTCTAAGATGACAACAATCTCAAACTGCTCATTCATGAGGGAGCGCTGTGAAAGATCAAAGAACGGGCTCTTGGTGTTGATCTCATGGCAGATGGTTAGAGGCGACACCAAGAAGAGCTGGTCCGCCCCCGTCCCAAAGCCCACATCCAGCTCACACTGGTCCAGGGGCAGGAACTCACCCTCTGGAGTCTGTCGAGACTGGAAACACAAAATAATCAGAACCTACATTTATACTTTTACTTATAAGAAGTGATAATTCAGGATAATTGTTCCAACATTCTCCTCCCCTGTGGGGTCAGACCACAGGATCAAGGAAGCAAATAATAGTTTTAAAAAATTACTTTGAAAACCATCTGTCAGAATGTGGCTTTAATTACCCTTTTAAGTGGTGCAGTTGCATCTGTACTTGTTAAATTCAGACACCAAAATTAAAGGTGAAAAATCCAAAGAACCCATCTGAATTCTGTTATTTGAATTTAGCCATCCCAACATGATTTTTTTTTTTCACCTGCCTTAAAATTTCTGTTGGATAGCATATGCCACTTTGATGGATGTTTTTTGATTTTGAATCTACTGCATACATGCATACTGTATGTGCATGCATTTTTTGCAGGTGTAACTGAAGCAGCGTTAATGGTGCCATGGAATAGCGTTGAGAGGGTCCTTTTCCTCTGTGATTTGACATGGCTCCACATGGAATGGAATATCGGGGTTGGGATTAAAGCTCAAAAACAGGTGGGATATCTGTAAACTGGAAGCCATCATAAATGTTCAAGACTGGTTCTATCCTGATGAAAATAAAGGAGGATATGTTTCTGTCCTTGGGTCTCAGGCTTCATCTCAATGTTTTTGCAAAATGCTGGCACCAAGATACACGCTTCTAGCGCATCTCCTGTTGTTAGTTTGCTTGACAAACCTACATGTTTTGTAAAATTGGAAGGCTGAATCTCGCCAGAAATCTGTGTGACATTTGGTGAAATATTTGGCTCTGGTGGACCCCTACCAGTTCATTTTGACATATGTTTGCCTTATACTGATAGATAGGGGAAGAACAACACTTCACAAGAACCTTGATGTTGTTCACTGTGCAGTGACCAGCAACAGTGAGAATAAGGGTGTAAAATACATTGTTCTCTGACTTCTCTCACATTCCCTGTCAGACAACATGAGCATTGGTAACTTCTGTATTTAAGACACTAGCGTAATCATTTACTCTGTACACACGTCCTTACTGCTAGAACATTAGAGTGCTTAAACACTCTCCTGGCCTAGCCTCGCCTCAAAGGTGGGTATCATTAAATTATGGAGAAAACACTATTGTTCACTCTTGAGAAACCAAGCTCAATCAAATAATGTAGCTGTTAAATTAAAACATGAAATTAGGAAGGCAGCTCAAGGAAGGGGAAATAAAAGGAACTTATTATATAACCTTTTTTCCTGTCAATTGCAAGGTTCTCACTCCAGTTAATATGTCAGCAGTGAAAGATTTATGAAAGAAAAGGTGTTTGTTTAACCCAGAGGACCAAAGAAAGCCCTGCCAAAACCTACAGTATATGATTTCCACTATTGACAGAAGTGAATAAAAAGCAAATGAATCTATATACAAATCTTCTATATGTTTTGTTTAGTTCAAATAATTTCCCCTGTTGCCCTAATGTTAACTTGTAACCAGTCTCCCTGGCCCTTTGGTCCACAGATGGCAAGCAGACTGTCATTTGTATTCACAAAAATGTGGAGGACAGAAGGGTGTGACATTTCACAGGAAGACGTCTGTGCCCACAAATCTCTGGCTCGCCGTGGTGAAGGAAAGTGTCACAGTGATGGGTGCTCATGGAAAATCCAGACAGGGAGCCTGTGTCGCATGTCTACTGAACTTAACTACGCAAACTGGCCGACGGATAGATGAGAGAGTGGTATCAAATCTCTCATCTAAGCAAAAGACCTGCATTTAAAAGTGCGGATGCCTGAAAAACACAGTGGAAAGCCACCACCTTTCTGTCTTTTGATCTTCTAGCCTGCAGGGTATTCTTGTAGTTAATAACTTCATTTTGGCATTTCCCCTAATACAAGGTGATAACCCTCCCTAATCACAGATTGCATTATAGTTTAAAAAGAGTTTGACATTTTGGGAAGTCCTCTTATTTGCTTTCTTTCAGAGAGTTAGATAAAAACATATACCACTCTCACTACTTAGCTAAAAACATTAAAAACAGTTAGCCTGGCTCTGTCCAGGGGTAATAAAATTGATCCACTAGCACCTCTAAAGCTCACGAATTAACATATTTGTTTAATACATACAAAAACAATGTTGCTGTCATTACACAGAGGTAGCTATTTCCAGTGTTTCTGCTAAGCTACGCAAACTGGCCGACGGACAGATGAGAGAGTGGTATCAAACCTCTCATCTAAGCAAATGCACAGATTTCCCAAAATGTCAAACTGTTTGTTTAAATGTACATTGTAATGTACATTAAATGTACTTTTTCAGTAAGAGTATTGTTTATTACTGTGCCTTACATTCATATGTGAATTATCTAAGTTATACACTAAATAGATATTCTTATTGATACTACTTCACCTAGGCCCAGTTCAATTTTCTCTTCAATATTTAGTTTATGTGCAGCAAAATGTTAATGAGTGTGGTAGTTATTATTTAAATCTTAGTCCTCTTCTTGCCTCCAGCCATCTGCAGCAGCTGTTAGATATAAGTTCTTTTTTTAAAGGCCAAACAAGATATTGTAATATTTAAATTCAGCATTATCTCTGTTGAGTTCTGCTTTTGGAAGACCTTTCTCCAACTACTATAGGTGTAAGGGGCACATGAAATAATTTTTAAAAGCATGTTGTGCTTATACATTAACTTGTGTATTTAACTCAGTCATTTAAAAATGTTAATTGTCTTTGAGATGCTGCAGGCAGGTGTCCCATTTTCTGCAATACAAGTCAATGAAATTGGAAACCAGTTTCCTGGGGAGTCATGATTAAACCATTCTAGTTATGAATGTGAAACTGCTGTTTTCCAGATACTGTTCAGAGCTCTGCCAAGGAAGGAGGAAACCTGCCTAACACAGAATGGTGTTAACAAGGTGAAAGCCTGGTGTGTTCTCTTTTTGCCACTAAACAGTCAGTGCCACAAGAGGGAAATTAATGGCTTTTAGAAGAGGACCTGATATATAGAGAGTGCTTAATTATAACAAACCACCTGAGATTCAGGTTGAGTGGAAGCAGGCCCTGTCCCTGGGGACCCACTTCCTCCTCAGTGACAGTGTGTGTGCAGGTGTGTATGTAAGCAAAAAAACAAACACTGACAGTCAAAGGTAGAAACAAGTAAGTGTGTGTGTGTGTATGTGTGTGTGTGTGTGTGTGTGTGTGTGCATGTGTGTTAGTGTGTGTGCGCGTGCGCACATACACGTTTGCGCGTTGAGCTGGACATCAAACATGGTTCTCACATAGATGTTACATTAAAACTGCCATTCAGTCTCTTGACATCACTGTTAAAGCTAATTCATCTGTCTTTTTGTCTCGTCTTCTCTTTTTGCTCATCCTTCAGTGTTAGACAGTGGCAGATGTGGCAAGTCATGCTGACATGTCTGCCTGTCTGTCAAGCTAAACGCCTGCATCCATGCCTGCCTGTCTGTTACTACTAGCCTTTATCACTTATGTCCCACTGTGGGCCAACCTACTGAGACGAGCTTCTGTTGACAGTGACGGGCATCGCCCAGCTGTCACTCTCTCCCTCTGGCTCTCTGTCTTTTTGCTCAGTCCTGTTTGCCACACTGCTGCTGTTTACGGCTTCTTCCACTCTTGTCTGAGCACTTCTTTTGACAAGGATGAGGGTGTTTCCTCCATGCACTGCTGGCAAACCAGATGCAAACATGTTGTTCTATTTTAATTGTGTTCTGCCAGTGCTGCAGGGGTCATTGCACCACTGCATTCCATTGATTTATTAATGAAAGCTGCATTAATATTAATGGAAAATCAAGGACAGTTATTGTTTTAAGTTAATATGCAAAATGAATGCAGTCCTGCCAAGAAATAATGTCTCTACTGATAACAATGTTATTTAAGTCACAAATTGAAGTCTAGGCAATTGCAGCTAAGCTCAGATTCATGCCACTGACTTGCTTTTCTCCACAACAATATTGACCTCATGGGTAGTGTATGTAGTATCTAGACCTGCCCACTAGGGCCGGGCGATATAAGTGATATAAACACACATTGTGATATAAAATTTAAATGATAAGAAAAGGACCGAGTTGGATAAACTCTCAATAAGGGACATTGCTTGATAGAACATATCAGCCTATCACATGGAAAGGAAGGAGGTAATTCTAAGCAAGTGCACTGTAGTTTTTTTAAGAACAGACAATGTACGCCTACTAAACACACAGCAAAACAAGGTTGGTTGAGTTAGCAGAGCACAGCATGCACCACATGCTGCTGTGGTGGTAAAGTTACTACATGTGAGTCCCAGAGATGAGCTTTCCCTCATAGTGGTGGGAATAGCAGCTCTTTGAACAGAGCTCCATTCTTTTCATAGCGTTCCTTTTTTTAAACGTCTGTGGTGTAATTAAGTGCTGAAAGTGCATCCAGTTTCAGGTCCGTGTCTGTCAGTTTCACTGAGTGTGAGGCTTAGATATGCAGGGGCAGCACTCAGCTATTCTTATAATTACTGTGATCTCCTCACTGAGTTTCAGTATAGTGTATGAGCTTTTAATTTCACTGTATCATTTCATATTGCCCAACAATAGTAATGCCTGTAAAATAAATAAATCCCAACAAATAGTGGAAATCCAGAAATGCTAAGTCATTTTGTCCTAGGGATTATCTTCTGTCTGATTTGTGGCAAAAAAAACTAAGCAGGAAATAATACATTTTATCATCATCACTGAACAGTGGTGGAAATTGTACTCAGATTCTTTACTTATGTAAAAGTAGTAATAACACGGTATAAAAAATACTCTTACAAGTAAAAGTCCTGCATTCAAAATGTTACTTAGGTAAAAACGCAAAAGTATTAGCATCAAAATATACTTAAAGTACCAAAAGTAAAAGCAGTCATTAGGCAGAATATTGGATTATAATTATTGATGCATCATTGTGTTCATCAGAGTCAAGCAAACAAATATGAAATAACTTGATTTATATTGTGATAATTATTGGTAGACTAATGTGAAAAAAATGATGGTGATAAAACATTTGGCCATATCACCCAGCCCTACTGTTCACTGTGCCAACTGGACAGACACAACACATTTTCTCAGACAAGAAGTTAAAATAATTAAACTTCTATTGATGTTGCATATCCAGAAGAGTCCCATGTTCCCATATTAAGTAATGCTGAGGATATTGTTGAGCCAGGAAAACACTTCCATAAGACGCTTTTCCTTATTTAAGACATTTTAGCCCTCAGACCTCTAATTAATAAAGTCATGAAATACAAAAACAGCCCCGGTATCATTTGGGGAAAACCCACCAATCAGAAGGTACCAGCAGCACCACACACAGTATGTGGATGCTGCTGCTAAGTTGATAAATTGGGCAAACATTTCATAGACAGTTCTTTTGGAAAGCCTAACAATGCCATGACTGACACTAATGTTGACAGGCAGTGAAAACACAATGCCAGTGTAAGTTTTTAGATAACAGTCTCCTTTCATTACCTCGTGGATCATTACATAAATCTGTGAGCAAAATAAAGTTGGAAAGAATTAAAGTACTGCATCAAAATGTGCTTCGCCGTAATATGCTCATTTGTGTTGCTTGTAGGGTCTCTGACAGGTTTGATTCTTAAAAAAACACAGACATGCAAACGTTATAGCTGTGTTTCTGCGTACACATTATGCAACACAAGTGCTGAGCAAAAGCATGGCCAACTTTAATTCACATTATGCAACACAAGTGCTGAGCAAGAGCATGGCCAACTTAGGCAAGAGCCAAAGTATCTGGGTGGGACCCATAAAATTTTACAATCCATGCCCATCCATTACTGCACTAGCATGTCACATTGCTTTTACACAGATTCATCATTAGGATTTACTGCAGCATGCCTAATTTCACCAGTCAGCTTTATAGGCACCCTGTCTGACAGTGACCTTGAACTGGGTGTTACCTGAACACAAACTGCAGTTTTGTTTCCACAGTGCAGGTCCTTACCAGACAATATAGTCAGTGTACTCTATGATACCCCAGTTAGATACTGTCCAGTTAGACAACGCAATGACAAAGACCGCATCTCCTTAGCAGCAATGTAACAGTGGTATCCTTCACTGCAGTCAAATTAACAGCACACAATCTTATCTACATCTAATCAAGGATGGTTTAATTTTTTTTAAAAGACAGAAAAAGAATCACCACAAGCCTCGCTATTATATTTAGGTTTGCAGTAGTAATATTACATTCAGGTAGTTTCATTTAAAAAGGGAAACACCAGGTGATACTTTAATAATCGATAATAATAATAATAGATATACAATGGCTCTTGGTGCCATAGGAATAAGTCATTTATCTGTAATGTTGCCAGGCTACTGCTTTCATTATGTTTAAATTCAGAAAAGCAGTAATTGCTATAGACAAATATTAATATAGTATTAAAGTGTCTGGATTTTACTATTGTGTAGGGAGAAAGGTTGATATTGCATTTTTGCCTATATGATGATGTGTTGAGTAATTGAGATTAACACAGCATATTCTTCTTTGTCGTTTTGGGCAATTAATTAAAGAGCGAAATAAAAATCATCCTAGAGAAAGTTGAAATATTAGCAATAATATGGCTTTTTAATGTTTTATGTCTTTAATGTGTTCCAATTCAGCTTTTCTTTAATCAGACTGAACAGAAAACATTGCTTTAATTGATAGAACTGGATAAAATCCAGCACTAAGTTTAACCATATTAATGCACTAATGGTGATACTGGAAGCTTTCTGGTGACTCTCCCTCAAGGTTGAGAAAGTAAAATGCCATTTGAGATCATCAGGCTACTCCGCAAAGACCTTATAATCACAACTAACTCGCCCTGTCGCAAAGCACTGCTGTCCTTCATCTGCTCATGTTCTGACCGGAAAAAATGAGATTTCATTTATGGGAGGTTCCTTCAGCAGTAAGCAAATGCAAGGCTTGTACATAAAACACAAGGTAAAGACAAAGAACAAGACCTGAGGCTGTGCTTCTCAGTGTGCACACTAAGGCCTAGCTGAAATGATGGATGTGACAGTTTGAACTGAATAAAAGAAAACATTTAATTGACTTTAGGTGTGTGAACCCTGTTTGTGGTGCTTTGTACATAAAACACACAACTGTCAAAAATATCAGCTTTTGATCAAATTACATGTGATGTATGGTTTTACATGGACAAACCTTTTGCAGCAGCTGCAAGAATTTAGACATGTTGGAAAATAATGAAATCAAAGTGCTGTTCAGACTTCAGGAACCCCCCCCCCCCAACCCCCCCCCCCCCCCCCAGGGA